CCCGCGTCTCCTGCATCGGCAGGCGGACTCTCAAGCACTGCGCCACCAGGGAAGCCCTGCAATTTCATTTCTTAATGCTAACTCTGCAAAGATAATATATAGAAACATAATCATTTTCTACCAAGTTGCCTGCTATCAGAAAATGTGTATAATACCTCCTCCACCCACCACTTCCATCAGCTTTGCAAGTAAAAACTTAATCTGAGGCACTCTTCCTTTTTAAGCAAAAATCTATCTTGCAAAATATTGCTCTAAGATACTTGAAACAGCTAATATCTCTAGAAAGCACAACTACAGTACCAGGACATCAAATGACACTTCCTTTTTACATATGTATCAGTAACTTGGAACAACAGGTTCTGAATATCTAACTAGAGCTAATTGAGTGACTGTGCCACATAAGGATAAAAAAAAGAGATAAAATATGACAAATAATCTGAATGAAACCATGTTTCTCCCTAAGGAAGTAAAATGTGCAGTCCCCCCTTCTGGCCCTTACTCGATTTGCAGTCGTGAATGCCAATTTACAGAGGCTAAATCTTTTGAACTAAGTAAACTTTTTTTAGTTGGAAGGGACCTCTAGTGGGTCACACCATGCATTTCTCCCTGCAGTTCAGTTGCATCATGGATTTTGTTATTTAAAATAATATGCACATAACTGCTTCCCCTTCACTATCAATATAAGATATTCCTTATTTTTAACCTTGCCAAGACTGTACTTCTTTCACTCAAATTTACCCAATAATAATAATGGCTCCAAAAGCTCCACATGAAGAACCTCCACCATGGGGGTTCATGCAAATATATGAAGCAATATTTGCAGGAAAAAATTAATTAACTTTTCAGAGATCCATGAACATCCACAAGTTATACTGAACTAGAGGCTTCTATTTTAAAGAAGTCCACATTCAAATAAGCATATATTAAAAGTCCAAAAGATGCTTAGATGCATGTGTCACTCTTATTCCAGGAAGTGTTTTTTATTTCTCTCTTTGATGTATCACAACACATTTTAGGTAACCTAGTCCTTAAAAAAACTCTGCCTGGAACTCATAGTAAGATAAGTTCTACAGTGGTGAATCAGCCTTTTCTGCTGACAGTCTGTAGGTTTCAACTTCCAATTTAAAAATCTGTTCTAAAGTTTGAAATGTGTTCCAAATGAGATAACATCCGACAGAAGCCAGTTGCTTCTGCTGCTAGCTTAGTCACAGCAGCCCATTCTTTGGGGTCGATGAGAATTAGGGTCTTGCTTATAAAAATAACGAGCAGTAACTCAGTCTGAATTGCATTTTTTAATAGTGTTTCAGCCTAGCTAGCATCTACTGAGCTTACCTTATTTGCTTCACAAAAAGGTGAAAATGTAGATAATCAAACCTTCTCTGGTTTAAATTTTTTTCTGAATAATGATTCTAAATACAAAGACTCAAGAACATCATGCTAATAGTGAAACTGCTGAAAGAAGAAAATTAAAATTCACCTACACACAGAGCACCCAGTTGTGACACTGTTTAGAAAAGAAATAAAGAAATGTAGGGTTTGGGTTGGTTTTTGTTTTCTCTTCATTCTTTTCTTTTTTTCTCTCCATTAGGATTTTTTGTTTTATTTTGAACACAGCTGAGAGTTTGAGAGAGTTTCCTAGATCTAAACAATATTTTTGTTTGAGCTTTCCTCTTATGACGATTAAACCGGCCTACATTTTTAAAAGTTCCTATTCCTAAGGAATGCTCCCCTTTTCAAAGCAATCAGATGAGAAACCTCAAGTTCTCCCTAATTAAGGTATACAGCCAAAAGTAGATAGCCTTTATAACCCCATCACTCACAAAGTAGAGAGAGAAGGTAAGAGGGGAAAAGTGAAGTACTCCTTCAAAAAGGTGGTGCACCTTCATTTACTACAGATGTAAATGGAGTAAAGCTCTTTAAGCCAAAATGATTGGGTCAGAGGGGACCAGATACAGTCTGTATTCTAGCTGTTCAAGACTGAACTATCCAGGAAATTTTTAACTCTTCCAACAAAGAAAACTAACTGAAGAATGAATGCTGTGAGCACACATGCAGTGGACGCATATGCAGAGGGTTCTGTGTCCCCCATTCTCACAGATTATTAGATGATTTTACCTTGTTTCATCTGTTTAATATCATTACACTAAAACTGTTGGGTGCTCATTTCCTCTATTAATCAGATCACCTTGCTGAGATTTATTAAGAGGAAGAGTTTAATTAAAGCCAGAATGTTACTATTAAATTTGATGTGCAGTATAAATGGGCAACATGGGTCCCAAGCTTCTCCTACCATATTCAGTGCTATCTTGTGGAAGAGAACAACTCAGAAGATGAGGAACATAAAGCTAGCCACACCACAGGGTATAATTTATCTTCATATTTCATCACTTGAAAAAGCACTGTGTTTTTCTCCTTCTATAATTCCCTAATTTGGTAGATCTGCCCAAAAGATGTTCAGGAGACCTAATAAATGATAGGAATGGAAAACAGCAAGAAAAAAAATTAAATTGAGGAGGTGTTCCAGTTGAGTAAAATGAAAGGAGATGAGGAGGTGAATTTTTACATAAGAGGAAAACATACGAATATAGAAATAGAATTA